TCTGTAGCTCATAAATCATAACTTACCTGTTAGTGTAGATGAACTGCACAAAGCACATTACTTTGCATATAAATGCTGTTAAGTAAATGTGTCTCAATTGAATGAGCTAAGTCTTTAGCACTACTAGGTTGTACTCAATCTCCTGTTTTCAGCTACTCTCCAGTCTCAAGTCTGATGTAAAACTTCCTTATACAAGTGACACAAATACTCAAAGATCAACTCAAGCATACATTTCCCAACATATGGTAGTACAGTTGACTGTCACCACCCTTAGTGTCACTAAGATACTTGTAATGATATTCTAAATGTAGTTCTTTTGAAGGACTTGACTCCTCCACCAGGAAGCTGACCTGGCTGGAACACCAACAGTAGACTTTTCTCTGTTTTTCCAATAGTCTTTCCTCCCAGTACAGAAAATGTTGTCTAGATGGCCCTGACTTCATATTGGTTACACCTAACTTTCTTCTGGAGTATTTGAGCCCACAATTCCTTGTTTTAAATTCAGTGAATCAAAGCCATGGCATGTTCCATGCATGTATTTCAAAACTATCTCTACTTACTTTTACTTTTCTCAAAGATACAGATATTAGATATTAACATTCCTTTGTTATGGGAAATACTGAATATTCAGTCATGATCTGTGTCATTCAGGATAAGTATACAGGGACCTCAGCTATGTACATTTGGTATAAAAAAATAATGTAGAAAAAAGAAAAGGCTAATGACTAGGGAAACAAACCCTACCGTGTTAGTTTGCTCAGTCTGCTATAACAAACCACAGCCTGGGTGACTTAAACAATGAAAATTTATTCTTAACTCCACAGTTTTAGAGGCTAGGCAATCCCTAAGACAAAGTGCTAGCCAAATAAGTTTCACTGTGAGGCCCCTTCTTGGGCTTAGAGGCAGCCATGGTCTTCCTGTGCGCTCACATGACCTCTTCTCTGTGCATGCATGGAGGGAGAGTGTTTGGATTCTCCTTATAAGAACACTAATCCTATCATATCAGGATCACTCTTATCTCATTTAACCTTAATGACATCTTAAAGACCCTGTTTCCAAACAGTCACACTGAGAGTTTAGGGCTTCAACATACAAATTTTAGAGGGACACCATTAAATCTATAGCATTTCACCCATTCCCCTCACAGAAAAAAAAAAAAAAAGTCTTTATCATATGAAAAATACCTCCACCCCAGCAATAACTCTGAAGTCCAAACTCTTACCTACAGAGCACCTCAATCAGTCACAGGTAGGATTCATGTACAGGTAGCTATTACACTACTTGTAAATAGTGTAATCCTCAAGTATTTATTATACTCTTGTGGCATCCCCAGCCCTCCTTGTTCTGGGGGCTACTGTCTTGGTGCCCAGGGTTCCTTCTGGTCAAGCTAAGGGGCAAAAGTCCTGGTATGAGGAACATACTGGGAAACCAGTACCTGCTGAAAACAGCAGGCAGACATTGTGGCCAGATTAGCAAGATCAGGTAAAATGCCTTACTTTTAAAGATTAGTAGAAAGTTAAGTAATTATAAGGCCTAGAGACAGTATGCTTTCATTAGCAGGAACTATGGAGCCTCTTAAGCAACAGCCCTTGGTCACTCCACCCTAGCTTGCACCAGATGATGATGCATCCCCATGCATGTACTTTCCTCCATGAACCTGCCCACCTTCTCTAAACCTGGTTCTAAATAAAAACAAGACTGCCCATGGATCGGGGTGCACCTTTTTTGGTGTAGTCCCCCTAAGCCTCTCATTACCTGGACTTTGAGTAATCTTTTCTTCATCCTGCACCACTCTCAATGCTGCCGCCCTGCAAGGCAACACACTCTGTGAACTTGTGAAACTAAACAAGGCAGTATTTCCAAAACACAATGACAGGACAGTCAAGGGATAGACATTCCTATTCCAAAAAGGAAAATTCATAAAAGAGAAATAGGTAACACATTCCAAGCAAATCCAAAACCTAGCAAGGGAAATTTCATCAGATTTCAGCTCAAGAATAATCCTCTTTGGCTTAATGCTCTGCTTTCCAGGTCCATTGGGTAATATCTGCCTTGGTTCGCTGGTCCCACTGATTCAGAGACTGTCTTGTGAGGGCAGACCCATCCGTCAGACACTAAACGGGAGGGCTCCTGGTGGCGCAAGGGGTTAAACACCGTACTATGAAGCAATCTGCAACCTCTGCAGCATGAGTTCGATCCCTGGCCAGCCAGGGAGCAACCCACATGGCGCAGCAGACCTCTCTGGTCTCACCCATTGCTCCCCTCAGCAGTATATTTCGGTCAGTCTGCCTGTTCTGCTCCTCACTCTGCCTCTGGTGAGTCCTCTCATACCTTGCATCTCTGGCCTGTATCCCAGCTCTTGTATGCATAAATAAATCTTTTTTAAAAAAGTCACTAGACAGGGGCATCATGGCCCACTGTAGCTCCTGCCTCTCTTGAAAGTAAGAAAGAACTAACCCCACCCACTGTGGAAGAGTCACATCCCTGATGATCCCAGAACTGCCTCCACAGTCAATCTTCCCTTTTCTGGGACATTCCATTTCTCTCCTCTGGCACTGGACTAAAAACAGGACAAACCAAGACACTCGGTCAATGGTAGGCTAAAAAAATCTTCTCAGCTAAATACCTTCCACCAAACACTAGAAGACCAGTTCAGACCAGATTCTTTATAATAGAATCATCTTTTCTCATTTCCAATAGCATATGATCCACAGTTCTAAGATTTTGTGAGCATGGACTTTAATGTTCATAATTCTACCAACATTCTGCTTTATTATTGACAAATAGAGGCTTTCTCCTCAGCTCTGCTTTTTCGCTTTCTGGACTTTCACCAGAACTGACTTTAATGTTCATATTTCTACCAACGGTCCCTTTACAGTAATCACAGCTTTAAATGTACCTCAACACACTTCTCTACCCATCACCACCCAGTTTTAAACCACTTCCACATTATTAGGTATTTGTAACAGTAGCATCCCACTTCATGGGACCCATATCTTTCAGTCCCTTTAGGTTGCTATAACAAAATACCACAGACTGGTATTTTCACTCACAATTTTGAAGGCTGGGAAGTTCAAAATCAAGCTGCTGGTTGAAGAGTGTTGGTAAAAGCACTCTTCCTGCCTTGTACATGAGTCTCTCTTCACTTCTTTCTTCACACGGTCTTTTCTTTGTGTTTGGGTAGAGAGAGAAAGAGACAGAGTGTGAAACAGTAAGAATGTTTGAGAGAGATCAATCTTCATCATAAAGGCATCAGTCCTGTTACATTAGGGCCCTAGGGCCTCCCTGGTGGAGCACAGCATTGTGTAGATGTCTGCAGCCTCTGCAGCACAAATAGTTCGATCCCCAGGTGACCAGGTGCAACCCACATGGCGCAGCAGACCTCTCCTGTCTCACCCGCTGCTCCCCTCAGCAGTGAATTCCAGTAGATCCACCTGTTCTGCTCCCCACTCTGTCTCTGGTGAAACCTCTCACCCCCAGAATCTCTGGCCTATACCCAGTTCTTGAATGCATAAATAAATAAGTCTTAAAAAAAAGTTTAAGGCCCTAGCCTTATTCATAAGAGCAAGGCAGGGTAATATCAAGTAAGACACTATGCATTGTACATAGGAAATAGTCACATACATTGTTTATGGCCTATCTACTCTGAGTTGATTTTCCAACCCAAGGGCACAACTGGAAGAGTGTGAGGAGCCAGTGCTATCTGAAGACCAGCCTCAGCACAACAGGACACATTTGAGGCCAGGTGTCCAGCAGAGTGCTCAGGAGTTCCAGGGGCTGAAGATCACAAGCTCCTGGCAGCGAAGGCCTGCTTACTGCGGAACTGCCTTTGTTCAGCTCATGATAAAAAGCCAGCTAAAAATGAAACGTTAAGGCTGCTTCTGTAGTGTGTTAATGTCCCCCCTTCCAGTTCACTGGCTGTCTGATTAAAGCACACCTTCAAGACTCAGTTCCTGTCTCTACTTTATTGGCATTTGGTGGTAACAGGTGGCCTGAGCTCCAGATTTCAGTTACCTTATGACTTCATATAACTTAATTACTTCCCCCAATCCATATTACAGTGTAGTTTAAGGGCTTCAACATAAGAAATGGAGGGTTCATAATTCAGTTATAGCTCCTCCTTTCACTGAAGGCGCCCTAGAGAAGATGCTCAGACACAAGGACCACTGTAACAACTTAAATAAAATCCAACACAAGAGAAAGCTGTTAAGACAGGCGGCACAGGGGTATCCTGGGCTCACCTCCTCTCACTGACATACCAAACACCTGGTGATACAGCACAGGCAGCAATGCACCCTGAAAAAGATCAGAAAAGAAGCTCAACAGCTGTTCCACGGCAAGGATCAATGGGACCCACCAGAACAGGTAGGGCAGACAGAACCAAGGTATTGCCTTGGTTCACACCTCACCCCAACACGGAGCTCGCCCATCCTGGCTTCACCCTGAGGAGTGAGGGTAGGGTGGTCTACAGCAGGTGGCCCAACCTTTGGGACCTGCACTGGAGAGACAGGCCTCCCCAAACATCTAGCTTCTTAAGTCTAGAGGGCTTACCCCTAATGGGCAAGCGTGCAGACTCACTCACCCCGGGGTCCAGCGCAACAGTAGCAACTGGAAAAGCTTCCCGAAGGAGCCTCCTAGCTAGCGTTACAGGGTCTACAGAACCTGGGTGGGCCAGTCTCTCGCGAGATGAGCACCGTCTTTGGCACCCTCTCCCCTCCCTCAAGCCGCTGAAGGACGCCATTTCAGTGTCATTCCTAGTTTGTTGGTGCCGAGGGCTCCCCATCGGACCCCAGGACTGGCCCAGGGTCACGGCTGAACACCACACTCTGCAAAACCCCCACTGGCTGGCCGAAGCGGCGGCCCAAAGCAGGGCACGGCATATGCCGCGCGCATGTCCACGTAGTGCGCCTGCGCACGTGCCCCACGCCACGCCCAGGCCGCGCTGGCGAGGCACAGCTGGAGGGGCGGCCGCGCAGAACGTCATTGCGGCGGGCCCTCGGCTCACGCCCCTGCCCCGCCCTCCAGGTGCAGCCAAAGCAGGAAGTGACCAGGAAAGGTAGGTCACGGAGCGCCACGTGTGCGCGCCACGGTGCTGGGAGGGCAAACAGAGTGTGGGCCGGTGACTGACCCACGCCGGTGAAACTTGGAGCAGAGCAGGCTGACTGGGCTGGTGGGCCGGTGTCCCCACAGCTGGCTCTGGGGTGGGGCATCTTTACAGAAAAGAAAGTGGTTTTGTTACAGGGTAAACCCGGATATGAAATGGGGTTGTCTGACTGGGGGTCCTCACCGGCGCGCTTAAAGAGGACTTATGAATGCTAAACTGCAGACATACACAAAGGTTGATAAAAGGTTTATTTACAAGGGAAGGGGAAATGGGAAATAAATAACTCAGGGAGAAAAAGAGGGAGATGAGTTCGTAATGTGTCCTACCGGTTCTGCTGACCTTGAATCCCAATGACCCGCAGAGCTGGCAAAAAAAAACCTAGTGCGCCTTATGGCCAGGCTCCCGACCCCCAGCCACATGGCCAGTTAAAAAACTCAGAGAGCCTAGTTGCTTAACTCCGCCCTCAGGTCCTCGCTACCTTCCCTTTGGTGATCATGGAAATTTGTAGTTCCCATGTCGTGGAGGTGGACTCCACAAAGCCTGTGTGGAGTTTGCTCGGGACATCCTTTCCCCCTAACAGTTTTGTGAGGCACCTCCTCAGAGGCACTAAGACCATGAGAAAGCATAGTCATGTTATGGTAGCATAAGAGTGGGAAGAGTTTAGAGTAGTTGTTACCAGGAGAAACTGAATGTGCAGGTACCTGGAGTCCTCCCGAAGAGCCTTGAGACCAGGATAGTGGCACTTGGTACAGCCATACCCACGGGAGATTTGTGTGTGACACTCCTGGCTTCCATGGAACATGTCACTATTGAGTGAGTCAGGAAGAGGTAGGGCTATGGAGGCCAGCAAGAAAGAAGTGAAGAAGGTAGTTACCAACTGTCTTATTTACCTGTTTTCAAACTTAGTGGCTTAACATAGCACACATTTATTCTCTTACAGCGCGGGAAGTCCCAAGACTGAAATCACTTTTGCTTGGCTAACATCAAGGTATGTCTGGACTGGCCGAAGGGAGACTCTGTTTCCTTGCCGTTTTTAGCCTTAGTGGCCTCACCTCTATGTTTGAAATGTCTGGTTTCAAGCTCTCCGTCTATTATTACACCCCTTCTCATCTGACTATAGCAAATCTCCCTGTAACTCCCTTTTAAAGGTCCTTTTTGCTTTATGTTTAGAACTTGTCTATATTATCCTGGCTACCCCCATGTTCCGTGGTCCTTAACTTAATCACGTCAGAAAATTCCCTTTTGCCTTATAAATTGACATTCATGGGTTCCAAGAATTAGAATGTGGGTATTTGGGGGGAGGATGTTGTTCAGCCTCCCACAGCATCCTTCTCCAGTGCCTTTCATCTTTCTTTTATACTTTACCCAGATTTCAAATCCTGAGACAAGATGTTATTCAAACTTCTGTAGACTCATTCACATTTTGTTCAACATTTTTAATGGGTGTCCAGAAATGTGCTAGCCTTTGAAGTAAATACGGTAGATCTAGCTCCATCTTCATGGTGTTCACAGGTCACATCATTCCCTTTACTAAGTTGTGTGTGCCCCTGCCCTTACACCCTTCCTTGCTGCTGCGGGTTTTTCTTCTCTAGTCCAATCCTGCCTTCCAGATCCTGCCAGGTCTGACTGTCCTTCTGGGAAGATGGCACAAGAACACAATTCATTTTGCCAGGTAACGCTATTAATCTATTAGCATCAAAAACCTACGTACCTGGTGTTTACTCTTTAGTTACCTTGTTTCTCTGAAGTTGCATGGACAAATACAGTAATATCCTAGACATGGGTTAAATTTGTGAAAGCTCCTAATCCCCTCTGAGTAGGAATTAGTGACTATTTAGGTAATGCCCAAGAAAGAACCATTCTCAGGAGAAAAAGCTGCTTTTACTGCAAAATATTAAATGACTATTCAGATATGTGAAGTGTTTATAGTACCCATCCTTACAGATAGGAATATGTTTGCATCCACCAGTAGAAGAATTTATAATCATAACTACCCAGATAGTTTCTATTGATACTAGGATCCTTGTTCTTGTTTTCTGATTTGTAGACTGAATATTAGCACCTATCTGCCTAGATCTTTTCTCCACATCCTACAAAGTCTTTCTAGTCCTAGTTCTGGAGTGGTTGCTTAAACTAGTCAGTATATTGTGTTGTGAAAATTGTAGAGTAGCTTCAGATGTCTTCTTGGACATGAGTCTATGAGACACAGAATATACCTGAGGGAAATGGACAAGATGACTCAGATGGTAAGGTCATGACTGCATTTTCAGGAAAAACTTGATTAGCAGTCATTGAGGACGTGAGAATTCTGTTGCTCCAAAACCAATTTTAAGGACTAAGACTGGTCTTTTTATGTCATGTAAGAGCAAATGAATTGAGATGTGTAGGAATGTTTAAATATCCAGATAAAAAAGAATATGTGTTTTTGTGGTTTGTAATATTTAGAATATATTAGATTTTGACCTAATTAGGTCAATTGTTAATTTCTTGTTATAGAAAACTGAATGTTATTCTGGTGCTGCTCAAAAGGACACATATTCTTTGGTCATTTGAAAATGAAAAAAAAAAATATTACTCTGGGTTTGAGCTAGAAAGAACTAGTTGAGTGAAAGAATATCTGAATCATACAAAATACATTAGAATACTCTGTCATAAACTCCTAAGAAATGAGTGTGAATGTGGTCTATATATAATCAAATAAATGCAAGATAAAGCCACAGTGAGAATCCATTTTACAACTAACTGCCCAGGATTGAAAAGAAATATATAGATGGATATGAATTGAGAGGTAAAATGTATGTGGAGGGACTCTTAGAGAATCACTAATGTTACATTTTTACATAGGTCAGGGAAAGCATCTGTGATGTATCAACAGTTTTACAGAAAAATTGCTGAAGTGAAAAGTGGACATAGGGAGGTAAAGTATTCTCAGTAGAGGAAAGAAAGAATAAGCACAAAGACCTCAAGAGAGGAGCATGATTGGGATTTTTTGGAAACAAGGGGGCTATTGTTGCTGGATAGTAGAAAAACTGCAAGAAATAATAATATGGGGTAATCAAGGAACAGATATTTGTAGATTCTTGCAGAATTTTAAAAGGACTTCAGTATTCTAATTGAGTTTGGAAGTTATTGCAAGATTTGGAACAATTTTATAAAGAATTTCATTTTTTGCATCACTTACATTCTACTCTTAAAACGAATTATTGGTTGTGTTTAACATTTTCATTATATCCATGGACAACTGGATACCTGTGGCATAAGCAATGATAGGTAACTTACATCTTTAGTTTTCCAGTTTAAGATTTTTGCTTTAACATCACTTCATTGCTATAGGTTTTCAAGTGAAAAATAAATGCATTCATTTCTTCAAAAGTATTTATTAAGTATCTCCTAGGTGCCAGATACTCTTCTAGGCATTGAGGATACAGAAGTAATCAAAATAGATAAAACCTTTCCTTGCTTTTCTGGTACTTGCACAGTAGTATAAGTTTAAGGTTGCAATAACAGAGCAAATCTGACATTAAAGTATGGTGAGTAAAATTTATAGTATGATGGATAATGAACAAATAAAGTAGTAATAAGTTATATTGAAGTCAGAGGGAGTAATGTTTTTAAAAAATTGCCAGGAAAAAAACACTGAGAAAGTATCATTTGTGTGGATTCTGAAACATTATGATGCGAAGATGGCATCTAAAGAAGGAAGCCCCTCTCCCTCCTAAAGCCAAAGTTCTGAAGGCCAAGAAAGCAATGCTGAAAGGTATCCACAGCTGTAAGAAGATCCACACAGCACCCAACTTCCAGAACCCCAAGACACTCTGACTCCAAAGGCAGCCCAAGTATCCTCAGAGAAGCACCCCCAGGAGAAACAAGCATGACCTCTAAGCTATCTAATTCCCCTGACACCAAGTCAGCCACAAAGAAGATAGAAGACAAAGATACACCTGGTCCATTTTTGATGTCAAGGCTAACAAGTACCACATCTAACAGATTATAAAGAAGCTCTACAATTCTAATGTAGCCATGGTCAACACCCCGATCAGACCTGCTGGAGAGAAGAGGCAAATGTTTGTCTTCCAACTATGTTACTTTGGATAATGCCAACAAAATGGGGATCATGTAAACAATCCAGCTGGCTAATTCTAAATATGATTTTTTTTACCATAGAAAATTTTAAATGTTGATGACTTGAACTATGCAGATAACTAGAAAAGAATTTTCTATACTGAGAGAACAGCAAGGACAAAGACCATGAGTCCATATCTTAAGACCTTAAGGCCGTTCTGTGAACTTCACACTAATATAGGAAGCTATTGAAGGATTTGAGCAGAGCAGTGTAATGATATAATCTGCTTTGACATGAAAATTCTGGATGCTGTGTTGAGATTTACTTGGGGAGTGGGATTTGGTAAGAGGGTAGTATAGTAGATAAACTGAGACACAAGTTGTAGAGGTTGCAATAATTCAGGACATGGTAAAAATCAGATTCTGATATATTTTGAAATTAGAAACTGATATGGTATAAAAAGAATCAAACATGATTCCAATATTTTGTATGAGTACAGCTAGGATAGAATTACATTTTGCTCAGATGGTGGATATTATAGGTGAAGGGGTTTGGAGAGGAAAGATGAGAATGCCTTTGAAAATGTATGAAATGCCTATTACATATCTAAAGGGAGATGGCAAATAGGCAATGGAAAAATCTACCAGGACTTTATTCCTTGTCAGAGAGGGAAAAAAATTAAATTATCAACATACAAATGGTATTAATGACATGAGAATAGATGTGCTTACAAAAACTCAATGGTTGGATGCTGAGACAAACCAATTTAGTAGTCAAGAGGTATAAAAGATACACTAAGTGGAGTAGTTAGTGAATTAGGAAGAAAACCACAATGGGTGGTATTCTGGAACATATTTCCAGGAAGGGGGGCTGGTCAATTCTGAGAAGTGCTGCTAATAGTTCTTATCAGAAGACAATTATATGTAGCAGTTAGATAATTTATAAGTTAGGCAAGAGTAGTTTGAGTGGAGAATTGTGAACAAAAAACCGGTTTGGAGTGCATCAAGGGAGGATATAAAGAAAAATGAAAAACATGGACCTCCCCTGGTGGCACAGGCAGTTGAGCGCACTGCCGTGAAGCTGTCTGCAGCCTCTGCAGCATGGGTTCGACCCTGGCCGGCTGGTGAGAATCCCACATGGTGCGGCAGACCTCTCCTGTCTCGCCCACTGCTCTCCTCAGCAGTGTCTTCAGTCAATCTGCCTGTTCTATTCCCTGCTCTGTCTCTGGTGAATCCTCTCACTCTCCTGCACATTTGGCCTGTTCCCCATTCTTGTATGCATGAATAAATAAATCTTAATTTTTTTTAATTAAAAAAAGAAAAATGAAAATCAGGACCTCCCCTGGTGGCGCAGACGTTGAGCGCCGCACTGTGAAGCTGTCCGCAGCCTCTGCAGCACGGGTTTGATCCCAGCTGGCCGGTGAGGGTCCCACGTGGCGCGGCAGACCTCTCCTGCCTCACCCACTGCTCCCCTCAGCAGTGTATTTCGTCAGTCTGCCTGTTCTGTTCCCCGCTCTGGCTCTAGTTAGTCCTCTCACCCTCCCATGCAACTGGCCTGTACCCTGGTTCTTATATAAATAAATAAATAAACAAATAAATAAATCTTTAAAAAAATGAAAAATGAAAAACAATAGTTGTAAATTAGTCCTTTGAGAGGTCTTTTTGATGTTAAAATAGCACAGAAACAGGGTAATTCCTGAAAAGCAATGGGATTCAAAGAAAGGTTTTGAAGATGAGGAAGTGATGGCACATTTATATGCTGGTGGGAACATTTCTTAGAAATGGAAAACAAGTTCTTTAGAAAGGAAAAACTGATATTTTGGAAAGACAAGAAAAGGAGGGAGTATGGGCACAGTGGAGGTTCTCCTTCCCTAGAGCATGAACAGTTCATCAAGGCAAAATAGGTGATACTGGTGTTTCAGCTATATAGATGGGTGATATTCCAGGAACTTTTGTTCATTTTTGGCATAGATTAGGAGAACACAGTTTGATAACTAGGCAGATGAAAGGCCCATTTGAACTTCACAATCATAAAGTCAACATAATTGGGTGTTTCTTCATCCACATTCAGCATCATGGAGGAATCGACAGGGTAGTTGAGAAATGGATCAAATCAAGTTTGCAGTTTGTGCCAAGCAATTAAAATGATGCAGGGGTCACCAAGGACTTGAAGATGCATGGAAGAAAGTAATTAACATGACCATAAAAATTAACCCAGATATGAAATATCTGGTAGAATTAACCAATGCTTCTGTGTCAACAGAAGTATTGTTGGATCCAGGTTACTAAAGAGTGTGAGCTAGTAAGGCAGTGATAATCCTATCAAGATAATCCTTGACACTAGCCTTAATCCTATTCAAGATAATCCTTGAATATTAGGAAGAAGTTATAGTTTTTGGTGTGACAAGGTCTAGGATACATCCATTGAAATAGGTAAAAGTCAAGATCAGTAGAGGAGAGGTTAATATTAAAAAACACTAAGAAGTCAGAGAAATAGAAGGATTGTCTTCATGGTGACTAAAATAATCAGTAGTCATAATAGCAGTATTATTCTGAGAGATTAACTTTGAATTAAGCTGAAATTGTCATGGAATAAGTGGGAATGACTCAGCTTTGGTAGATGATTCTCACTGAAAGATAAGTGGTAAGACTATTGTTATGAGAGTCAAAACTATAAATTCTGAGGGAGGAGGGTATGTAAGTGGGAAGATAAGTGGAAAAGATGTCACAAAGAAGGCACAGCTGAAAACTAGCCCCTCCAATTTGGAGCAAAATGAAGAATGAGATACCTCACTAATCACAGCAGCCAGAGGGCTTACCTGTGACATCCACTTGAGAGCTCTGGTTGTAAAAACTTTTGGCCACCTATCACAGAGATTTGATTTTAGTCACTGGATGTGAATTGGTTGCTAAAATATTTATAATACACAAATGAATATTATTAGGTATTGTGCCAGGTACTATGTGAAGCATTTTGCCTATTTTACTCATTCTTCACACCAAATACTGTCTTCCTACTTAACGGATATGGATATTGATGCTCAGAGAGTTTAAATAATCTGCTTAAGCTCATACTAATAGCAAGTAGCAGAGAAAAATTGGCATCAAAGTTTATCAGATTCCAAAGACTGTGATATGTCATTAGAACTCTGATGATTATCTCTGAAATAAGTATCAGTGGTTGTTTCTAGCCAATTTTGCAATTCCATCGACCCACTGCTGTTAGCATAGTATTGATCTTTCTTTTGACACACTTTTGCTCTTCCACAATTTGCACAGAATAGTCTAATTTCTCAGTCACTCATGGAAAATGTTCTTTGTCCTCTGAAAACATTCCAGAATTTCACCAATTTTGGTTTAAGAACTGGAAAAGTTCTAAGTTGATTTTTACTGTTTTATCATCTTTCTGTATGTTCTATATATTTTCTCTCAAAACAAAGTAATATTCCTTGGATTGAATGGAAATTTGAAGAGATCATTAGTATGTGATATGGGGGACAGGAATTTTGTTGAGCTTGGTGCAGGTTGTGGAAAAATCCAGACTGAGGGATTAGAAGTTAAGCAGAGTTTATTGAAATTTACTTTCCAAAGGAGGAAATAACAGACAGACAGACTTTGCAGCCTGTCTACAAAGTGACAGGAGCTGGAATCTAGCCTTTATACTTTAGTTTCCTATGCTTTGTGGCTGCTTTCTGCTCACTTAGCAAAGCACTGGGTTAGCAAGTGCTGGGTACGTCCTGTTCTCTGCAAGTGGTTAGGGTGTTCATGGTTCTAATGAGGGCTGCCCTGGCACAGAAAGTATTTCCAGTGGTTGGGAGTTAGTGGAGTGCCATCCCAGGATCCAGTGGTTTATTTTTTTTTAAGGATTTATTTATTTATGCATACAAGAGCTGGGGTGTAGGCCAGAGGTATGGTAGGGTGAGAGGATTCACCAGAGACAGAGTGGGGAACAAAATAGGCAGATCTACTGAAATACACTGCTGAGGGGAGCAGTGGGCGAGACAGGAGAGGTCTGCTGCACCATGTGGGTCACCTCTCTGGCAGGGGATCAAATTCATGCTGCAGTAGCTGCTGATAGCTTCATAGTGCTGAGACTTAACCCCTTCTGGCACCAGGGAGGCCCCCAGTTTTAATTCTAAAGCTTAACCTCATCAGCATGGAAACACCTAAACTGTGCTCGCACTCTGAATGAATGGGAAGTCGACAAAAACGAAGCAAAGTGTTCTCTAGCTCTGAAATGTAGTTCTTAACATCTGGTGTGTGATAAAAATTAACTGACATTCTTAGTAAAAGACAATTCTTGATAAACTGAATAAGAATGTCCAGGTCGTGGGCCTCCCCTGATGGTGCAGCGGTTGAGCATTGGGCTGCGAAGCTGCCCGCAGCCTCTGCAGCTCTGGTTCGTTCCCCGGCCGCCGACAAGGGTCCCACAAAAAAAAAAAAAAAAAAAAGAAAAAGAATGTCCAGGTTGTGGGGCTTAGATTGCTATAGGTTCTAACTAAGCAGAGGAGTATTTTGGAGCTCAGATCCCTAATTTTTCTAGCCTCAGATAAACATGTCTTATTTTCTCTTATTTTCTCTTAATTGAGAAATTAAGGATATCCTAACCTTCTCCCCCTCCATATTGTCTGGTTTGTCCCATGATTCTGCACCTCTAAGAATAAACCAGTACAGAACTAATCTATCAAATGTATAGATATAGAGCTTAAATACATATTACTGCTATTGTGTCAATAGCTGTCTTGCAGTTAGTGATGTGGGGTAACAATTTTTTCATGTATCCGTCGTCACATTGTATATTGCCTTGATCTCTCTTTATATTTCTCACTATTATATATGATTATTACATATATGTTATAGTTATCATATATGATATAGTATATATTTTCCTTTCATTTATTCATGTGAGAGGGAAAAGGAACAGAGCCTAATGTGAGGTATGGAGATAGTGAAGGGATCAAAAATGTTTGAGTTAGTGAATGAAATAGATGTATGCATGAAACTTTATCCCTCTCCAAGAAAACTTGCAATTGAGTCAGGCTTTTCTCTTCTCTAAAACACAGTCAAGAAAAGGAAATTATGTGACCTTTTTTCTTCACAATTTGACACAAAGACAATGCAAAGTAGTCTTGACTTTTGTCATTTTTAAAAATTTGTTGCTTAGAAGACCTATCTTGTAATAAGTTGGCACTTTATATTTCCATATGAGACATCCGGGATCCATTCACAACACATTAGAACTGCACTGAAATATGAAACAAAAGTTTATTTTCTCTTTTGAATGCTAAAATAACCTGTGGACACATTTTAAAATTGCCTTTATTTTTTTGTTTTACACTTGGAAGAGTTTTTAATACCTAGATAAAGTCTTGTATTGATATTTGTATTTTTAAATAAAGAAATCTTATGCACCTAATTTAATGAGCAATCAAATATGAATTCTCATAAGTAAAGCTTAATTTTTTTAATTTTCACATTAAAATAATTTCTGAATTCTGCTAAAACTATGTAATGTATTAAATACAGTTAATTTTCTTATATTTGCTTAGGACAATGACCTAATGCGATGGTTAATCATCACTGGACTGATAAAAACAAATGTCAACTATTTAAAGAGACTTTCACAACAGATAAAGAAATGGACTTGTTGCTGTTGCTGCAGGAGTCTACACCCAGGTAAGAAACTTGGAGATTCTCTCTTTTCAACATCTGTTCTTTGTGAGAAACTTCCATATATTTCAAGGGAAAAATATGCTTGATAGACATGACAAATATGCACCCTTTATGCTCTGTGTCTTCTAAACTGTTAAAACATTTTGAATATCCATCCTGGAGATAGATGAGCCTCAAGTTTATATAATTTAAGGATAAAATACAAAAAAATTAGACATTTGTAATTTAAAAATAAGAAATTAAGTCTGAAACACTGGATCTCTGATTACTATCTCAACACATGCTATATGTCAATTATTTTCATCTATTACATAGAATTATTAGACATACACCCTTTTTCTTTGATTCTATCATAACAGGATAAATGGGGGTAGAGAGTAAGTTAACAAACATAAAGAAATAGGGTATATCTCAAACTCACTTGCCTGTCTCTACTTTTCTCATTTCAGCTCAAATTTGATTTAAGGTGAAAGGGGGGAAAAGGTTTTTTAGATATTTTTATCTCTGATTAGATGAGGAAAAAAATCTGCCCAGCTGTAATTCTGGTACAAACTAAAAAATCAGTAAATATTTGTTCCCTTCTCCAACCCAGGAAAGTGGCTACCTTGTAAGATAATTACTGTGGTCAAAGTAAGTCCCCCATAAACAGACATAAAGGTAAGTAAATGCTGGTTTTCCTTTCTCCCTCCTCAGTTCACTCAGTATGAGAACATGGGTCACTTGCTTTGCACTACTTTTCTATGATCCTTCAACTAGTAAAAACTTGATACAGATTATCAGAGACTGGTGACTGGACCTCCATTCCAATCAAACTCGGACGCTCTAGCTGTTCTCTTCAGGGAAGTGTTGCAAGACTCTATTTGAATGCCTGTGATCCTGCTATGTCTTATAAACATGCTATGTCTTCCCAATTTTATTTATGTCATTTGTTTGGAACTGTGTGAAAAATGCATGTCCAGAGAAAATTATTTTAAAGGTCTCCCTCCAAGTCAAGCTTATACACCACAGTGAAGTAGGAAGTTTGACCTTCAGAGTTAAGCCAAAATTGATATTCCAACTTTCTAATTACTTGCTAGTTCCATGTTACAACTCAACCTTTCTTAGAAATGAGGGCAAAAGTGCCTGTATTTCCAACCTATTTTCTAGATTTTTTTTTTCTCGGCATCTCAGAGAGAGGTGGAGAATAGTAGTCTGTATGGGAAAGTAGTAGAAATGCAGAGAAATGTGAAGACTTTGTTACCAGGTATATTCTTTTGTGGAGTAGTCACATGTACGAGGTTCTTTCAAGTGCAAGTAACTTAACTGTAACCGGTAAAACAACTCAAAGGGGTGATGTGATGCAGAACACAGCCAAGAGAAGGGCAAAACTCAGGTTGGAAGGAGATAAATAGGAGTGCAGAAAGTTTTCTTCTGGGCATAGTGGCTCTATATGGCTGAAGGTGTGTTGAAAATAGGTATGTTGAAATATGTGAGTTGAAAATGAGGCCAAAATAGGTGTGTTGAAAAATGAGGCCAAAAACAAGGATCAACTTTAGTTTGTGAAAATGCAAAAAGAAAAGGAACTTTGTTTGTTATGGCACAAGGAACCTCTAAAAGATTTGAAGATCGATATGATATACATAAGACAGAAATTAAGCTAGGAGACAGGATAATCAGAATTTAATCATTGACAATAAATAAGTCTAGGAGTAGAAAAATAACCATCAAGAATAGTTGGTCATTAACTGGAATAACTGGAGCTAAAGATGATAGTTCACCTTGTATGTCATTAAGAGAGATTTTCAAATTAAAGGATTAAGTATAAAAAAATAATTGTCTTAATATTTAAATCATGGGGAGATGCAGCAATGGGGAAATGTACAGAAAAGGTATCTATGGGGAAAAAAGGACATGAAATGTGTCAAAGGGCCACTGATGATCTTGGGACCACCAAACTACTGATTCCACTAATTCCAAACTACTGAACAGGCACAGACATTTCTTTAGTACACCCAAAATGTGGACTAACTGGCACTCATTGAGGTTACACAGGGGTGGGTTTCTGCATCTCACTAAAATTTACTTGTAACCCTCAAATCAGTACTGCTGCACCTTTATGGTCATTCCCATACCTGCACATAGTGGCAAAACAATTTGAGTGGTCCAGCACATGTGTTCCTAGCTGAGGCTAGTCAAGGTATATCTCTGCTTTCCTGTTTCAGTTCTCATGCTGTAAAGCAAGTGACCTTTCAAAAGTGACCTATTTGTCATCTTTTGTGTGTGTGTGCTTTAAACACTAAAATGTTTAAACAGCTCACATGCATAATGCTAAAGTGCTGTCTGGTGATGTCGAGTGCAAAAAGGCTGTGATGTGTCTAATGGAAAAAAATCGATTAGTTGCATAAACTTCCCTCAGAAAGCAGTAGAGTGCTGTTGGCCACAAATTCAAAGTTGATGGATCAACAGTATAAATTAAATATGGTGTCTTTAAAGAGAAGCACATGTGGAACAGGTTATATTCATTGATTGACAAAAATGTTATGACCAGAGGAACATAGATATCAAGCCCTGTAATTCCCTTAGGAGATATATTCAGTATTTGCTGATCTAGTGTTTACAACAACTTTACAGGACTTAACTACTGCAAATAATGAAATAATAACTTACTTAAAACATGTATTAAATTTGTCGTATAATTACTGTCCTTTAATAGTCACATATCTGTGCATGCATCACTATATAAAAATAGTTTAGATGCATAAATATATATCACACACATATGACTAAGAATACATTTCCTAAACCTCAGTAAGCAATCACTATTTTACTTAAAAAAGCAAATCTATGGAACAAGCTGATTGATTTTACTAGTCTTTAAAATAGTAACTTAATAACTCAAAATTATAATTCCCTTGCACTTTTGTAAATGAGCTAACCCAGTCTCCTTCAGGCCCAGAAAGCCAAACTCTGAGTCATGCAAATTGTCTTTACATGAAGAAGTTTGACTAGAAAGGGCCATTAATGCAGGCATTGGGAAATGTACCCCAAAACAACCAGCTCCACAAATGGCAGGAGTGCTGGAATTTTGTAAGGGGGAATGAATATGAGGGAAGTGCAAGGCAGTCCAGGTGACAGGATTCGTGGGTGTTTAACTTTCCCAGCAGAGTGTTTTCTCAGCAATTAGCAGATGTTTGTTTCTGATGCCACTATCTACCTGAGGCACAGAGAATTTTATTAGGGATGTAACACAATCAACTACTTGCATTTTCCAAGCTCCAAAGAATTCAGGTAGAGCCAGTTAATGGTTAATCATAAGGGGGAACTGGGAGGACACAATTCAGTGAGTTAACAGTTAATCCCCCTGCAAAAAGGTGGTTAGAGTTTAATTCCACTTACCCCTACAGTTTAGTCTAGGGGGTATTTTCTCTTGCAAAATGGAAGGGATCTAGCAACACTTTGACCTCAGAATTCTCCTTGTAGCAATTTATCCTACTCATATGATCAAACATAAATAAAATAGCATTTTAAGAAAAGTTTCTAATATTATATAATTAATTGTAGTCTAAATATTTATCAACATGGAACCAGCTAGATCTATTAAGGACAATGGAAGGCCCTGCAACAAGAAAACTGAGGGAGCCGTTTATTAATATAAAGTGGGGCAAAGATAGAAAATAGTATTAATGGTGTGCTGCCATTGTGTTTAAAAAAAAAATACTATATTTAAGAATGCCTGTCTTGGGCCTCCCTGGTGGCACAGGCGGTTGAGCGCCGCGCTGTCAAGCTGTCCGCAGCATCTGCAGTGCTGGTTCGATCCCGGCTGGCCAGCGAGAATCCCACATGGCACAGCAGATCTCTCCTGTCTCGCCCACTGCTCCCCTCAGCAGTGTATTTCATCAGTCTGCCTGTTCTGTGCCCTGCTCTGTCTCTGGTGAATCTTCTCACCCTCCCCCACATCTGGCCTGTACCCCGGTTCTTGTATAAATAAATAAATCTATATATAATATAGGATAAGATTTACCAAAAGCTAATAATGTCAGGTTTCAGAAAGAGAAATTGTCAGTGAATAAGGGTTAGAGGAAGGGTCTTCACCATGTGTCTTTTTGATCATCATGTTTTCAATGAGGTACATGTGTAGTCTCTTCAAAAATAAGTGAACAAAAGTAAAACAGTTGGATCATGATTTACTCCTAAGTTTGGCTGAGTCTCTCTGAGAGGTACTGAAGAACACTTAGTTTTTTTTAACAAATCCAAACTCTATTCCTCTCTGAATCTGTCTTCAGCACTCCCCCTTTGTGAAACCTTCTTAGACCACTTTAATTACAATTTTCTACATTATTTTTCTAACCATTTTGACTTTACTATATGCAAGGTACTGTTTAGTACTTTGTAGAACTGTAAATATGTATTAAATGTGTATTATTTTTCTTTCTAAATTTCATAATTTAGATATGTAGAATATATTAAAATGTTCATTTTTTAAATTTTTGTCCATCTAAATCAAAATCAACAAAAAACTATGAACCAGAGACACTCTATGGGGGGTAAGGGGCAGGGAGGGGAGGGATTGGGGTCAAAATAAGGGGGTTGCAATTGTATGGGGAATATAAAAATAAAATTTATTTAAAAAATTTTTTTGTTCATCTAATCTAGTGTATGACTCTTTGTTATCTTATTTGTTATTTCAAATTTCTCTCCATAAATTTATCTTCCTAACTAAATTATAGCTGCCTAAGCTAGGACTGTGTGTGTGTATATGTGTGTGTGTGTCTTTTCCCTCCTTGTTTGTGTGTGTGTGTATGTGTGTGTTTTCATTTTCCCTTCTTTTGTTTCCAGCATTTACCTAGCCCAGTGTATATTGAGAACATAGTCTGCCCTCGTGAATATTAGTGGATTGATTAATTTCTTTTTTTAAGGATTTATTTATTTATGCATACAAGAACTGGGGTACAGGCCAGAGGTGTAGGGGGGTGAGAGGATTCACCAGAGACAGAGTGGGGAACAGAAGGAACAGGCAGACTGAAATACACTGCTGAGGGGAGTAGCAGGCAAGACAGGAGAGGTCTGCTTCGCCATGTGGATTGCTCCCTGGCTGGGGATCGAACTTGTGCTGCAGTGGCTGCAGATAGCTTCATAGGCTGTGTCTTAGCCCCTTGTGCCACCAGGGAGGCCCTGGGTTGATTAATTTCTTGATTGATGTTAAGTTTTTCTGATTTTAAGTTGTCTCTGTTAAAGTGAAATAAATTATACTTTTCTCCCTGAATAGGTGATCATTTCAGTCAGACCTTCGAGGACATTTGAACACATTCACATGCCATCTGTAATTCCAAGATGTACCAAAATCAATCTATGAATAACACAGCAGAGACACAGCCTTCACGGAAAAGGAAATCTGGATGCTGCAATGGATTCAAGGTGGAATGAACTTTATGTTTCTGAAATAAATATATGAAAGGAGAATTTTTATGTAAAGAAAAGGTGACTGGTTGTTTACAAGAACACTTTCAAATTAGAATTTTCAACTGAAGCAAACATTCAGATATTAACAGAATGATCCATAATTTGATTTAAATCCATCTTTAAATTTGATAAAGATATTTCTTTGATGGTATTTCTGATGGATAAAAGTTTATTAATGTTGAAAATTTAGAAATACTTTGATAGCTCCCTTTTGGTTCTTTATGGGCCAAAGATATTTATAAATATAAATTATAAATCATAAGTTACTATATAATAGAAAATATGTAAAAATATTCTTACAATTGACCTATAAACAGAGAAGATTAATCAGCCTTATGAATCACTTTGTGATCTTGACCTATTTAATGTTTTTTTCTTGAAGATTGGCAGTTTTATTCTAATAACTTAGATCATATAATATGATGGAAAGAGATCTGCAAGAAGAATCAAAACACATGGCCCAAAGCTATAGTTGATGACTTAGGAAAGTTGTTTAACTTGTCCTTATGCAAGTTGGTGGAAATAATAATCCCATCTCTTGGCTTTTGTTACAAGTGAGACTGTAAATGATAGAAGGAACATAGAAAAAAAGTGCACGTGGAACACAGCATTGATGAAATTAAGACTCACCAGAGTTGAAAGTTTTCCTGAATTCATCTAGCATGTAAATTGAAAACCCTTGAGCCTAAGTCAAAGTCTTTAGACCCCACTAGGGAAATCAGTAAACCAAGGCTGCTTTTTACCAGTATTTTGTATGTTTTACTCACTCAACATTGCAGGCTTATCCAACTGATAAAGACCACAGAGGTCATACTCAATTGCAATAATGTTGTATAAGGTCCCTTTTAACTTTGTCCAGAGAGCATGGAGTCTGTTTGTTTGTGGAGATTACTGGTGAAGTATGTTCTGATGAAATATTTGAATAACATTTAAGCAGAACGGCAGCCACAAGTAAAAGATATTGCATAATCAGTTGTATTACATTCTATTGTCTAGAGGTAATAAAATGTGCTGGATTATTTCTGCTTTTAAATACAATATTATACTGATTTCATTTACACATGCATAGCAAGATGACTACAAATTGGTTGAAGCAAATAAAATTTTTAGAGAAGTCCTTTGCAGCATAATTGGAAAAGTGCTTCAAGTTAACAAGTGTGCCTTATGTATGAAGTATGTTCATTGCAGGCCAAAAGTCTAACTTCTAGTAGTAAATTTATTTCATACCACAATTGTCAGGCAGGTGTGATCTTCTCCCTTTCACAGATGAAAAAATTAGATACAGAGAGGGCAAATGACTTCCTCTAGATCCCCAAACCAGCAAGTGGTTGAGCCAAAGTGTGAACTCAGGCGGCTTCATCCCATCCATCTACCCTGCTCTCAATTCTTCTCCTTACTGCTGAAATAACTGAGAGTTTCCTTAATATTAGTACCCTCAAAATGTTCTGGTAAGCAGGGACTAAATGGACTATTTAATCATCTTCTTCATCTTATACTTTTAAAAATTTCCCTTTAGACCAAATAATTCCCTGTCACAGCTCAAATATTTTTATATATCTGTGTGCATGAACACACACAAATATCCGTGTTGTTACTTATGTGCATTTAGAATTAGCAGGTAGAAATGGACACATATAAATAACAGCAGCATAGTTTGATTCTTTCTTATCCCTTTCCCTGAAGTTTTGGACCAAACCAACTAAATAATATATTATACCATCATATTGTTCATCTTTACACCTGTTGTTTCTGCACTTCAGATGTCTCATGCCTCTATAATGTAATGAAAATTTTAAACAAAATGAAAGTAATTCATCATCATTAGAAATTTATAAATGATAGAGCAAATATAAAAGTTCCTCCTTTCTTCCTTCAATCCAGTTCTTCCCTCCAAAAATAATCAGAACAGTTATCTCATATACATCACCAACAGTGTCCAGTATTTGCTTCAACAGCACGTATGCAAAAATTGCAACATCACCAACAGTGTCCATATCCCAGTTTTCCTCTAGTTTATTGCAGCTATGTTAACTTTTTTTGCTATTTTTCCAAAATGCCAAGCTCACTTCTGAGTAGAAATTTGCACTTGATGTTCCCTCTTCTGAGATGTTCCCTCTTCTGAGATGTTCTACTCCCATGTACCTTGCTCCTTAATCTCATTCAAATCTCTGTTTAAACAGTACCTCATCCATGACCACCCCATATAAAACAGCATTTCCTATCCAGAACTCTTTAAGCAAATTGATTTTTATAGCACTTATCTTCACTTGACACAGACACACAAGCACATATATACATATGTGTGCATACAAATATATGCACTTAATAGCTTAAAACAACACACATTTACAGTTCTGAAATTAAGAAGTCTGAAATAGGTCTTACTGGACAAAAATCAAGGTGTTATCTGTGTTTCTCTCTGGATAATCTAGATGGCAACCCATTTATTTAGCTTGCCTTTTCGAGTTGCTCAAGGATGCCTAAATTTCTTGTTTTATAACTCCTGTCCATATTCCAAGCTAGTGATGGTCTGCAAATAGTTCTTAACATAACATTACATTAACACTGACTCTTCTAATCTCTCTTACACATTGAAATGACCCTGTGATTATATTAACCAGGATATTATGTACAATCTCTTGTTTTAATTTTTAAGGTCTGATTAGCGAGTACTGTAACATATCCTCATGTCCTTTGATATGTCTTCTTATCTATCATACTTATTCTGTCTGCATTTTAAATTTAAAATTTTGCTACTATCACTGTTTTCCCTCATTTCCTAGTTTTTATCTTATTTTCCTAAATGTGATAACAAAATTTATCTGGTAAATTTACTCACTTTTTTTTTTTTAAACAAATCTCATTCATAATCTGTAGTTTGGGTTTCCCTTTTATTTAAGAAATTCTTCCAAAACTGTTTTTATTGTGGATCTGTATGCTCCTAGACTTTTTTAGGTTTTATATACTTGAGACTATATGTCCTTATCGTGAATGACCATATTTAGGTTCTTCCTTATCTCTTTTGTTGGGTATTCCTATGGTTAATTTCAACCTTGGTTTTTTCATCTTTGTTAAATTTGGGAAAGTTGTACTTACTGTTTCTTTTAATACTTCCCTATCCAATGTCTTTCTCCTTTGAAGGCATCTGCTCTTCAGTTATTGTCAATTTTAATTCTTAGTTTGTAGAGCTTAACTTCTCCTATATATGTGTGTACCTGTTTATATATTTTCTTTTAGCTTTCCTTTATGTATTTTCAAATTCCCTATCAGCAAGATTCTTAATATGAATTTCTAACTCATCCTTTCTTGTTTTCACCCTATATATTATATAAAAGTATTATACTTTCCATGCCTCATATATTTTATTGGTTCTATATTTGCTATTTTTATTTTGCTTTTATTTCATTTGGTTATTATTTTTGCTTATCTCTTTTGCATACTTGTTATATTATATAAACTCCTCAAGTGTCTTCTACAACATTTGCTTCTTCAAATGCCTATATCTGAATTTGTTTGGTTTTTTGTCTTCTCTCTTTTGAAAGAATTTATCTTTCTCAGAGCTCTCATGATTTTCTCCTGAGTTCAGATTTCTCTGGTTTTGATATTAATCTTTCTGGTAACGGGAACAGTGGAAGGATTAAGTACAAACCCTTATTAATGTGAGCCCTAAGAACTCAAGAAAAGAGTGGGGAGGTAAGCCTCAGGGTATAGGGCATCATTTATCAGTAAGTTATATATCAGTTTGTATTTTACCAAACTCATCTAAATAGGCTCTCTCAGTCTCCTGAGGGAAGAACAGTTTTAGGGAGATTGCAACCTAGCACAGGTGAATACCATGAAAGAGAATGCCTGAGACTAGTCAGCACCACCTCCTTCCCTTAGCTGCTTTCTTAGATGTCTGAGATCTCCCGTGATTTTCTCCAAAGTATACTTACTTTTGAAGTCTGAATAATCATTACCCATCCCTACCCTGGAGTGGACCACATTGGCAGGGGCTGACCTGGGTTTGCATCTATATTGAAAATAGCCAAAAATAATGTAATAGCTGTGTATTTTCATAGGTTGAGTAATACAATAGTTGAAGAGGGAAACCAAGCTCAAAGCCAGAAGTATTGAGTCCAAGGTACAAAGGTGAAGTTGAAGACAAATGTGAAAAATTCAGGGCAGAGGTCTTGAGTATTAGAATTCCCTACCTCTTTCCCTTAAATCTTTTAAGGGACAATTGATTGAAATAGCACATCAAACTCTGCCATTTTGAAATTCTAGTATATTTTAAAGCATTATATTTAAATGATCATATTAAGGAAACTGTAATAGTTCATCTCCTAATAAAGCATTTTAAAATTTGTAAGCAATTGAAGCAAATCACATAGGCAACTGCCAGAATAAAAAAATGTCTAGGGGTTGTGACAGTAAATACATAAAATTTGATTGTAGTGAATAAAATAAGGAAGCACAGAAATACACAGAAAATAAAAATGACAAGTTCTATAAAAGTGTAAAAGAATTAATCATAAGGTGTTCATTTAGCCAAAGTGACTACTACAGAAATGTAATTGCCTATGATCTGTTAATAATAGGAAAAGGGAAAGGATATTTAAATTTCTTACAAATAAGAGGGTTTTTTTTAAAGATTCATTTATTTATTCATGCATAGAAGAACTGGGGTGTATGCTAGAGGTGCAGGTGGCAAGAGGGCTCACCAGAGTCGGAGTGGGGAGCCCAACGTACTGACTTACTGAAATAGACTACTAGGGGGAGCAGCAGGCAAGGCAGGAGAGGTCAGCTGCTCCATGTGGGTTAGCTCCTTGGCAGGGGATTGAAATCAGGCCTTAGGAGTGATAATGCTGAAACTTACCCCTAGGCCACCAGGGAGCCTCCATATTTTAAAATTTTTAAGTGGTTGTCTCAATATACTAAAATTATGTAAAGTAAAACTAAATTAAAGAAATGTA